CATATTCTTCATCTGTAAATAACAGAAAGTTCTGAAAATGTTTCCTTTTTACTGTCAATGGTGCACAATGTGAGTTTCCACTAAATTTCTTAAACTGCCACTGCATGTGGACCAAACTTTTAGAGCACAATATATTCTGACAAAAATATAAATGTTGCTTAAATACCTAAAAACTTGGCATATGTATAATTTTAAACTTACAAGAATATGTGTTTTTGTTATACAAGAAACAGCACTTCCTCAACGGGGTAATCAAAATAACTTGTTTAATTTTATATCTGATTAAAAAAAGCCTTACTTTGTTTTTTGTTTGTAATTTTTAGATGCTAAAATGTTATGAGAAAGTATAGGATAACTTATGTGGTTATATTTATTTGAATTGCTTTAGAAAGTCTTTATAACTAGTTTTAAAATTACAAGTTAAAACAGATACTGGTTATTTTATTATTAAAATATTTAAAAAGAGAAAATATAACAATGTATATACCATTTAACTAAAAAAGTCAAGATTTTTTCACAGTCATAGGTTAATAAAACACTTTAAGATGACAGACACTTCTAAGATGATAGAACAGCTGTTGAGAACACACCTGTCTGTGTGAAACTAGGTGATCAAATGTGACTTTACAGAACAGAAAAAAACTAATATGGAAGACAAATCATGTCATCTGCTAGCACACCTACAGTAGCATCATATGTTCTCTTAAAAAAATTAATTATAAAAATTACAGTTGCCATATCATATCAAATTATACTCCATTGTTGTCATGTTTGTGGCTCCAATGTTTCATAAAAGCATGAAACATCCGGTTAGTGAAGCATGCTTGCTCTCATTGGCTGGTTCAGGTTTCCTGCCAGAGTCAGTGCAACCAGTTTCATAAATAACACATAATAATACCTGATAAACAACTGAAATGGTATCAATATACTGCACATCTAAATATACTGTGCGATCCTAATGATGCTGTAGAGATTCAGAAAAGAACAGCACATGTGGTGCATCCTCCAAATCCTAGCACCCCAACCTAGCAAGGCAAAGCATTGTGCAAATTGCTTTCAGCACTGATTTTGTAGGCACATTTGCACAGTTGCATGATAATGGCACCAGCCTTGCCAAGTGAATTGGGTGCTAAAACTATGCACATAAATGACGCCATCGACTGACGCAGTTCATTCGTTCAAAATTAATGCACAATGATAAAGTATAAAGCTAAACTGTTTGTCCACAGCACAGTAGATCAGCTAACAAATGCCCAATGGAATATTTATATATATTTATGTAATGCCAAGGTTTTTGAATACAGGCATAGTGAAAGTGTGTAGGTGTAGTGATTTATTATATTAGTATTTGCCAGGTTTCTTTTGCATTAACAGCAAGACAATATGACTTTCTGGCACCCAAACAATTCGAAACCCCATTTTGCTTTTTGTCCAAAAATGTGCAAGACCATAGAGTTGAAAACATGACAATTTCCTTGTGCACAAGCCACTTCACCGCCTCCTTACAGAGAAATGCAATCTAACATCTCATGTTATTTTATAGAGAGGTAGGCCTATTATTTTTGCAGATAAAACCCCGGCGGCAGAGCTATCCTTCACCACTGATGATTGCAGCTTATTGCTGTGAATCAGTACAGAAATATTTTCCTAACAGCTTTCCTCTTGGCACACTCTTCACTGGGCTGTTATTTTTAGTTACTCAAGTGAATCACTCGAATCAAAGGAGAGAATTGACAAACAATGCTAAATTCACAAACGCTTGTGGAAATGCTGTGCAGGTTCACTAAAAGTTTGTCCAAAACATGGTTTTTGAACATAATGTGTAGTTTATTATCACAGATGATTTTTCTATAAGAAAATTAATTGAAGTACATCATCACATAAATATATGGAAGCATAATTTATCATCAGTGTACAAGGTGGTGAAAATGTGCTCAATATGGGCATATATACACTAGGGTTGTAAACCTACACTGGTAGTCTGTTAAATTTCATATCTTGGTGTCAATGACGATGCTTTTCATAAACAACTTGACATTTTACTTAGCAACACAATAATTCTTGTATTAAAGTTAATAATTTATAAATATATTTATATATTGTTTGTATTAAATTTTGTACTTTAATACAAGCAGTCAAATATATAGTTGAAGTCAGAATTATTAGCCAAACCCATTTTTCTGTAGACTATTTAAAAAAAATTATCTTAAAGAGACTAATTATTTTGACCCTAAAATGGTGTTTAAAAAATTAAAAATTTTCTCCAGAAGACAAAATATTATCAGACATACTGTGAAAATTTCCTTGCTCTGTTAAACATCATTAGGGAAATATTTAAAAAAGAAAAAAATTCAAAAGGGGGCTAATAATTCTGACTTCAACTGTATGTAGTCTACTGTACCTTTAATTTGACCTGCTCAATAAAAACACTCTTTTTGAATGCATCAAACAAAACAAAAGTACATACACAAAACAACATGAGCATTTAGAGAAAATAAACTAATGTAACTATTATCCCGTTTGCCCTTTGAGCATTGCTGAGTGAGTTCTTGAATGCCTATGATTGATCACGCGCTCATCAGAATAGGTTGCGATTGGCTCTGACGGTCAATGCAGTTCTGGCGCTGTTCAGCCAACAGTGACACGGACACTGATGTTAAACGGCCGCGGCGATCAGCTGATCCATTATAGACAGCGACACGGTGGAAAAAACTCGCTCTGCAGTCATGCTCTTTTTTGGAAACACAAGGAACGTTATTACTGTAACAGCCAAGAGATGAGATACAACGTTATCTCACAAACATTTTTCATTTTTGCCTGGCTGGGCCTGGCGCGCCATGCAGTGCCATGCATTTCAGAATTCTAAACATAGGTTTCTATCTGGGTACACACACCGGCGCCACAAGTCGGCGGCTGTCCGCGGTGCCCAGCCACGACTCAGGATACTGTTCATATTTCTGCCGCGCCACGGAGAACAATCTGATTAGTTTCATTTTAAATATCATGCCAATGTGCGCGTCTGGTGTGCGATACTTTAAACTGTCATGTGCTGATCGGCGCATCCGGTGTGTGACGCCCTTACGGGTGGGACGGTTCAAAATTGCCAGTTCAGTTTATATTGCTATTCTGTGTTTGTGGCTTTTGTTTTTTCTATTTACATTGTAAAACAAAATCCCCTATTGTAACACAGTTTAGAAATACCATACCAGATCTATCTCAGTTTTATTTTTGTTCTAAGATACAGATTTATTGAATGGAATTTTTGAAGTGCTTTCCGAGGTGTTGAAGTTGCAATTACAACCGGATCCAGTGCTTTTAATTCAGGAATTCTCGGAACAAACACATTTGTTGTCAAATACATAACATAAATTGCTCTCATACTGTTTAACTACTGCCAAGAATGTACTGCTACTGTTCAAGGAAAAAAGGAATCCCCTACATGTAAACTGTGGCTTGGAGATGTTACATTTGGAGCGAATCAGATACTATTTGAAAAGAAAACTCAAACAATTTGACAAAACTTGAAATCCTTTTATCTGTTACCTTGAAAAAACCTTGTGGAATAATGCATCTTTTCTGTAATGTTTTAATATGATTTGTCATCATACTCTGTTGTTCAAACAGGTCTTTGTAAACAAGTTGGCTTATGTTGGTGTTTTTTTATTATTTATTGTTATGATTTTCAGAATGTTTTTCCTTTTCTTTTTTTCTTTCTATTTGCTTTGCCTTTGTGCTCAATCTGTGTTTTCAATTAAACTTATTTGGAAAAAAAACTTCAGCATAAAATACATAGCATTATAATCTACAGTTTATAGTATTTAAAAAAAAATATTCTTAAACCTGTGTATTCTAATTTCAGTCTTAAATATATATATATATATATATATATATATATATATATATATATATATATATATATATATATATATATATATATATATATATATTTCAGTTTTTCACCTTTAATTAATAAGACAATTGAGAGTATAGACAGTTAAATGTGGGGAGCAGAAGTGGGGGGGATGATCGGGAATCAAACTCGGGTCGTCGTGGGCACCGGAGTGCCGTTTGAAAAACCCCTGAGATGTCATTTAAAAAAATTCTACCATGAATGTGTACTTTCACTTACCCAGACTTGCCCAACTATTAAATATGAGTATACATACATTTTGTTACATGCATTCTGCCTATATGTTGCAGCACAAGAACATGTTGATTTCAAAAAAGTATTTGTGAGCAGAAAGAGAAATGCACACAAGACCAAGTATTGAGTTTCTGCTGCGTCTTGCACTGGAATCTTTAAAGTTATAACCCAAAGCATGTCAGTTATCAGCAACACACCAAACCATGTCAAAAAGAACTAAACATTTTTTTTTTCGTGAACTGTCTCTTCCCTAGTGTAAATACACGAAAAATAAAGTCACTGAAAACATGAAGTCATGTGAATGCATTTGTATGTGTTGAGGCAGGTGTAGATTAATGTCAAGTGTGAACAAACACACAACAATGGTCAAGTAGTGTTTTTGCCAACACTTCATCCACAACGTGCTGATGAAAATTTACATGGCATCAAACACCAGAAATGCACACCTCTTACAAACTCAGCAAATTGCACGTAAACATCAGCGACAATCTGACAACGACATATAGTGACTACCTTACAGACACTGTTTCTATAAAAGATGACAGTACCAAATACTTTCCTGGTATACGTAATGCAATATTTTTGGTTGTTTTCAAGCATCAAAACAATTAAAGCATGGCACATCAGAATGAGTTAAAAGTAAGTAACAGTAAACAGTTATTTTAAATATTACTATTTTTATAATTATTAAAGACTTCTGAACTTTGCAACATTAATTGCTTTCTCAAGTTGTATAAATAAGGATGGAGAAATTCCACTTTATACTGTACTCAGAAGCATCATATAACCAACACTATGAATGCACACCCTGTTACAACACTGAAGTGATGATCATTCTTCTTCTATCCCCCTGTAGACGGACTGCTCCAGTGACAGTGAAAGCGAGGACAACTTCATCGTCATCCCTCCTCGTGATCACCTGGGTCTCGCTATCTTCTCCATGCTCTGTTGCTTCTGGCCTCTGGGCATTGCTGCTTTCTACTTCTCTCAGGGGGTGAGTGCAAAACCCACCGACCAAATCCACAGCCTAACCATTAAGCCTCTGAAAATATCTGCCACGACACGAGCAGACAGACGCAATGACACTTTCTCATCTGTGCCCCCTGTAGTCTCCCGTGAGAAGAGAGTTTGTGATCTCTATCAGCTCCTTCTAATAATACAGAACAGGTGCCTTATTATATAATGCGCACAATTATGCGCTCCACTCCTCTGATATAAATATGTAAACACAAATGCACTGATGGGGTGTTTGTGAATAGCGTTGATGCTATGGCCCTGTTTACATCTGATTTAAGATGCATTTTTATTGAACCCATTAAGTGGAGGATGCTAAATTTACAGTCAAGCACACTTTTTTTTTTTTTTTGCATTTGAACAACATTAGAAATTTGCCAAGGGTATGATTAATTTCGGACTTGACTGAATGTACGCTGATCAGATGAGTTTTAAACTTTCCATCTACAAGGCAAGTTATTTCAATCGGCAGCCATCTTTGAAATGCCTCACGGGCAGTATGCTCGGGCATTTTGTCTGAATGAGGAAACATAAAATTCTCCAAAAATGTTTGCCAAGATTACGATTACATTAAATATTTGGAATCATCAATAAAATTAAGCAACAGCTGTCTCATAAGTTTCTTTCTAATTGTCCGAATCAAACTAAATCGGCATGTTTTCAGGTTGCTTAAAAGCTAAAGCCGCCTTTCCACTGCACAAGCCATTTGGACACGAATGTCGGCATACGCCCTCTTGTGGCAGTCGCACAGAATATTCAGTTTTTTCGTGCACATGGAAGAGAAGCTGTTCTCACTGTGTCTGAAATAAGATTAATTAAATTAAATTACATTTTTACTGCCATGTCTCTAAAACATGAACAGTTTATGCTGTTTATTACTTCACATCGATGCTGTAAAAGGAACTGTATAAAATTCACCGGACGTTTATCAGAAAAATTATTCTGTTTAGAATATGATTGACCCTTTCATTTTCATTTATAAGGGATTTAGTAAGCATAAATAATACTTTAGATTAGGTCACAAAACTAATGTAGTTAATAAAAAAATGCATTACCATACAAATGAACTATTAGTATGTGCCTAAATAAAAAGATATATGAATGTTATGTAAAATAGTTTATTAGTCATTTACTTATGCATTCTGAATGATCTTAAATCGTCTATTAATGTAGAGTTAATGCTTAACAGATAATAAATTTACTATTTGCTAAAGCTTAATATAAAAATATATTAGTTATTATAGTGTTACCGACTGACGCCCCATACATGTTTTGTAGACCTCCTTCTGGGTGATCAAGCATTATTTGGATGGTCAACTCCCCCAAAACCCCTGTAATTCGCACCCTGCTTGTTAGCTTTAGTTAATGCATGAAGTTTACATGAACTAACAACAAACAACTGTATTGCCTTTTACTAATGTCAGCAAGCATGAATAATATACTTTAATAATGTATTGTTCATGAAAATACTGTAAATACATGAACTAATATTAATTACTTTAGTAGAGTGTTACTGATGTTTTACATTCTTATGCATTCTCTCAGCGTCTATGAATTTTTTAAATTCTGTGGTGAAATACAGCTTTGTGAATTAATGTGCTTTTTAGCGATTTATTTTATGCAGAGCAAAATATGGGGATGAGCATGCTTATCCATCATGCTTCTCCAAATTAATGATTTCATTAGTACATTTAAAGACAATAATTACTTGCAATGTTCTAAAATATGTTTTATGAGTTCAAATGCAGACAACCATGTACTGTAAATGTTAAAACGGTAGTAACTTCGACTTATCACAGTATTTTTATACTGCTACTCTCTGATGATTTGAAGTGCTTCTTTGATCCTCACTTGTAAGTCGCTTTAGATGAAAGCGTCTGCTAAATAAGTATGTGTGAGAAGTTGTATTAGGAAGTACTTTTACCTCCATTACTCATGCGTGCCCTATTCATAAAGCATATTTAATAGATTTCACTGCTTTAGCATTCACTTAACAGTAAAACTGAGCAGAATTAAAATATTATAATTTAAAAGGGGCTTTACTTTTTAATTTACACTAAAAGTTCAGAAAATTCAACATTCACACATGCCTATAGACCCTCGCTTATTTTAAAGGTGGTTGAAAGTGGCCAAAAGAGAAAGAAGTAAATGTAAACTGAGAAGCGTCTCTGTTCATTTACTGTAAATCTGATCAACAAAATGCATTTTAAGACAAGCTGTAAACAGGTCCTCTGACGCATCGTCTTTTTTCTGCCACAAAATGCATCTATTTTTCCTTTTTTTCCCTAATTTTCCTTTTTTACCTCCAAATGAGCCTTATCATTCTTATTTTTTAGTTTAGTTTGTGGCAGACACTATCAAGAGTAAATTATTTTGTCAGGAGTTAAGTGAATTCTCTAAGAGTAATTGTGATGATGATGGTGTTGGTGCTGTTCAGAGAAGTGAAGTTGTCCAGAACAAAGCTTCACTCCTCAGTGTATGTGCATGTGTGTGGAGGATGGAAATGAGATCTGGTGGATATGTGAATGTTTTTGCCCTGTCTCCTGGCTGGAAATATTCCTCCGAGAACATCCTGAATGGATTTTCTCACTTTCCCTGCGGCATAGGGTTGAATGTTCATGAGGAATGTCTCCAACCATTTGCTTTCGACTCCTTCAACATCCACCTCTGTCTCACTCCAGCAGAAAGAGAAAATGACGTTCGCTGCATCTTATTACTTACAAAGCACTTTGAATTAAATAGAAATTTCCCTCTTTTTTAATAAACATATTTTAAGTAACCGCTTTGAATTTGATGGATTTTTACATCCATCACTTTGTAAGAACTACTATATAGTTAAAAGTTGGTTAAAATGCATTTAAACCTTTTAACAATATAACAATGCCATATTATTCGTTTTTGGCAATATTTACCAACATTTAATGGTAATTTTAAAACCTTATTTTACACTATCATTCAATCTACTTGCTTTTACCCATTTGTCAGCTAGACATTTTGGCAACACTAATACTTCAGAAAAAGTTCCCACTAAAAATTAAATATTGGCTTATTACAGTACTATTATCAATATATTGTTTATTAGTACTTATTCTACTTCCTTAATAATGTCCAATGCCTGAATTACCTCAAGTACTATAAATTAATACTTTATTGACTTAAAGGGCACTTATTTTACCTCTTTTACTAGATTTAAGATAAGTCTTAGGTGTGTCCAGAATCTGTCTGTAAAGTTTCAGCTCAAAATACCCATCAGATTATGTATAATAGCCTCTAGAATCTGCCCATGTTGGCGGCTGAATACATTGTAGCTGTTTTTGTAGCCTGTGGCTTTAAATCCAAATGAGCTGCTTCTCCCTGCCCACCATTCCCACATGCATGTCTGCTTCTTATCAGGTGTTACGTTAGATAAACAGCACAGTGGCAGAGACAGACTCGAATAAAGCTGAAATCCAGCTCATTAGTCAAAAATAGCATGTACATTTATTTTATGTGTTTGTGGTGCAGTTTAGTCAAGCCTTTCTGAAATGAAGAGTCTCACACAAATGCCATTTGCAGTACAGACACATACATAAATTAGCATTTACTAACACCATGCGGCCGTGGTGATTATAGCTGTTAAGAATTACATTTACTGTCTTTATTCCAAACGTGCTGTGTTTAAAACGTTTTAAACTTACAAAACTTATAAAAATCACAGAGAGTTGTTACAAATATTTTAATCCCAGTTTATTTGCAAAATAAATGTTCTGTGGACATGTGTATACATGTTATTACAGAAACATGGCACCTCTCAATCAATTCGTTGGGCAGGGAAAACCACACTCCTATGTCATGTTGCGGTGGACCTCAAAATCACTGGAATTTGGATCCTATTTTAAGATCAGTAAAATTTTAAAAAGACTTGCTGGGTTTATATCACTTCAATATGACTGTGGTCACACTATACCTACACACAGTTCTTTCCAAACCCTTTAAAAGTCTTAGATACTGTTTTGTAATAGTGAAAATTGTGCCTTAAAATCAAGTGTGCCCACAATTTTTAAGCAATTAAAATGATGGAACATTGTTTTATTCAGATTTTGACATTTTATTCATAAACATTATTTGAAACATTAAAACAGAGACTTCACTTGTTGTTTACATGATTTCTATATATAGCACTGTATTTAAATAAACATTATTTATATTGTTTGCTTGAGTAAGAAATTTAAGTTTACATTTCCAAACAAAGAAGACACAGTGGCTCAGTGGTTAGCACTGTCGCCTGACAGCAAGAAAGTCGCTGGTTCGAGGCCCAGCTGAGTCAGTTGGCTTCTGGTAGAGTTTGCATGTTCTCCCCGTGCTAGCATGGGTTTCCTCCAGGTGCTCCGGCTCCCTCCACAGTCCAAAGACATGCGGTATAGGTCAATTTAATAAACTAAATTGGCCATAGTGTATGTGTGTGAATGTGAGAGTGTATTGGTGTTTCCTAGTGCTGGGTTGTAGCTGGAAGGGCATCTGCTGTGATAACTATGCTGGATAAGTGAACATATGCTGGATAAGTTGGCAGTTCATTCCACTTTGGTGACCCCTGATGAATAACGGGACTAAGCTGAAGGAAAATTAACTAATGAATGTACTTTCAAACAATATGTTTGCTATTAATTGTAATAATCCAGTTTTTTGCATGCACAAGGAGACTAACAGCAGCCAGTGTGCAACCCAAAGATCTGATCTCACCCTAACAGTCCTTAGTCTGGATTTATTCTGTCTCAGTTTTATGTGTAATAACTATATTAGTAGAACTACATTAATATAACAACTATTAGCATCCAGAGCATTAGACATAGTTCTAAGCAAACACCCAATACACTTTTATTGTCAGATGTTTCATTATCTGGATTCTAACAATCTATAACTGTGTAATTACCCTTATTTATTTATTTTTTTTGCTTACTTTTAATTTACATTCAGAATGCTTTCCAAAGCTTGATCTTTATCACTATATCAGTATATTACTTGGTATAAACAGACCTTTACTGGAAAGGTCAGTTAAAAAAGATGCCTCTTAAATTTAACAAAAAAAACATGTTAACATAGCAACTCAGCTAGCGTACCAGCACTGGTGTGTCCAAACAGCCCATTATTGACTGTCGCAAAGCGTAGGAGTGAAAATCAATAGTGTTTTCCCTAGACTACAGGGTCAGATGCAGTGACAAAGGGAGCAAGACACATCCCGCAGCGACAGCCATGTGTGACTGCCAACTCTTTCCACTTCTCTAGAGGATACGAAAAAAAAAAAAGACAGCAGACTCTGAAGGGTCACGACACAATCACACAAAGCGACTGTTCAAAGCATGTTTGCGTGTTTATACACATCGCATATCATGCTGTGGGGCAATAAAACGTTGTGTATAATAGTGTCGCTTTAACTTATCTTCACTTTCTACAGAAATTTGCCCCATTAAATTCATGCAGCCCTTGAGCCATGTTCTTGGTAAACGAGCATCATAGTAAGACTTAATTATTCATTTGAACTGGGAAATGGATTGATTAAACTATTACATCGGGCTCCGTAGGCCTCGCTATTAAAGAAATTAAGGCAGTGAGATGTTCCTTTTTTTGACTTTAATAGCTCTCAGCAGAGCGTATTTCCAGTGTTGGGTTGTATGGAAGACGCAAACATTAGATAATGCCATTTATTGCTAGTTCAAATCACGTGTCGTTTTTTAAACTGCCCTCAGGTGGAAATAGTACAAGACTGAATGTTTTACTCTACAAAGCGACCATGTTGCTATTTGTCAAGAGGATTGCAGCAGAGGCATCAGTGCAAAATGTTTTTTCGTCTGATCTCTGTATCATGTTTAGCTCATCCCTCCTGACACCAGCCCATATAACAAGAAAGAAACATTGTGAAGTTAGCTGTTGACGAGCTGAGCGTCTGTGCAACGCCGGATCCTGCTTTCTCTCCTGTCCCTGTTGCATCACTGATCATGACTAAAAACCTCAGAGGTGTTTTTAGCAATGTTTATAAAATGAAACAAGCGGAGACAAAGCTAATAATAATTATGACAAAAGCACACATGTAAAGTGGTCCCAATGGGCAGGAACTCTACAGACCTTTAAAAAATAAATAAGCATAGAAAAAGTACTGTATTAAGTTTAGAATATTTAGAAATGTTGTTTTTAAAACATACTGTACATAATACAGGTAAGACTGCATAATAATAATAATAATAATAATAATAATAATAATACATTTTATTTGTAATGCGCTTTTCTTAGACTCAAAGCGCTACAAGGCAAAATACTAGCAATACAAGGCAAAATACCAACAATAGCAGAAACAGCACAGCAACATAAATGGTTAACTGTGACACAAAAAATCATGTGAATTTTAACCCTACTTTTATTTATTATGACACTTTTTTACACAGTTTCTTTTCAATAGGTTAAAGTTAAAAAAAAAAAGGCTGTTGAAAAAAAAAAAACAATTATGCTATTTAGGAGCCATGTGCACATAGCTGCACTCTCTCTCTCTCTCTCTCTCTCTCTCTCTCTCTCTCTCTCTCTCTCTCTATCTTTCTCTCTCTCAAGCTCAAGTTCAGGTTGCTTTTTACTATTTAGTACAATATTGCCAAAGCATTTTAGATATGTATGAAATCTGCTTGTTAAGTGGTGACGTGTTTGTGACGTATGTAATACTGTTTCCGGGTCCAAGCCACCATTCATTTGAGTTGAGAAATCATTCGTTTATGATCACTTTTTATTCATATCACACATTAAAGTTAATTTTATATAAATTCATAGTGTACACAACAATCGCTGGGCTTGCCGCATAACAAATACCAAAATTTTAACAATTTATAAAACAATGAATCACTTTCTGGCCATCAGATATTAGGCACGGACATATATGTATTGCGATCGTCACTTTCGAAAGTATTAAATCGCTTTGTAAACGTTTATATTACCATTTCATGAATCTCCTCATTCTGTTGAATAGAGAGCTTGGACCCGGATGCCGCTCCGCGTGACTTAACAAGCGGATATGTAGTATATTTGCCATCAAATTAATACCATATACAGCAAATGACAAACAAATTACAGGAAAATGAATCAAAACAAAAGACAATTCTCTAAAATATGTATTAACAATTAAGTAATAATTACAATAAAAGGTGTAGATTTAAATAAGGCAAATGAATTGATTGACCATTTCTAAAGATGTACATATATTTTGCAGCCAGTTTAGAGAGACACTGCTCGCTGCAGAGCCACTTGAGCTCCAACTCCTCCTCCTATAAGCTGTTTCAATGCGTACACCCACCCCACCCCTAACCCCAACCTCCAGTGACATCACTTGTAGAAGAAGTGCAAGGAAGGAGGAGCTGGAGCTCAAGCTCCCCCTTGCTGGAGCTCGGCTTTGCCCAAGTGGCTTGAGTTTAGATGTCATTTCGTCTTCTCCGAGTGTTTAGTAAAGTTTTATTTTAATTGTTTAAGTTAAGCCACGCAGAAAGCAGTCTTTAATAAAAGTAATGCAAAAACGCAGTAACTTTAAAAAAGTGAAAGCGAATGTGCAAAATGTCAGCAGCAGATTTTACCTGCCAGTGGGTGCACATGGTTTCTGAATAGAATAAATGTAAAACAAATAGTGGATTTCTTTTTTTATGTCAACAATCTTTTTTAAAACTTCAAACCATTGAAAATAAACGGTGTATAATAGTGTCATATATTGTTAAAAATCACTTTATTGTCATGTGCTGTGAGTAAAAGGTGTGTTTCAATCCGGCTATCACCGCAAGTATATTTCAAATCTGTGGGAAGCACTGTATATGATTACAGTTGAACCACTAAAGCAACATGGAATGATTTGACTATGTTTTTGGTTCCTTTTCTGGATTTTGAAAGATTCTGGAACATTACCGTCTTTGGAGGGTGAGGGAGCTCTCCTAAAATATATTTAAAATATCTTCATTTGTGTTGAATATTTACACACACTAATTCTTTAATACATGCTTGAATACATTTTATTTGGCAACTAATATAATATAACAAATATTTTAAAATGTAGAAATGGTGATTAAGCTGGAACAATAGTGTTTTCTGTATGCTTTTTCTAGCTGTGACAGTAAGCAAAGAAAAGTTTTCCATGTCAGTTACCAGCACAACATAAATCAGTATGCAAATAAATGTAGCCTATATACTAAAACATCAAATCTGAGTAAACGAAATAAAAAATTAATTTGCATCTCATATATGCAAGACAATTTATGGTTGTAAATTTGTGAAAATGAAAGACACTTTAAGACTTTTTAAGGATCCAGACATCCTGCTTACTGGTTGTATCCAATTTTCCATCTTAGATGCATTCAGCGTATCTGAAATATGACGGTTCACATTGCTTCCTAAAAGGTTGCTTGCATTTTTAACACATTTAAAAAGTAAGGTACTTTCCTATGTAACACTGCCCTTCAAAGTAGGTCGAATGGATTTTTAAAATGTAAAAGCATGAGATGTGGCTCAGCACTATGTGCCTAACAACACATCTGATATTCCATTTCGCCCTCAGCATCAAGAAAGCACTATAAAGTTCAATGCAATTTACCCTTGAATGGAAAACAGGTCAATGTATCCTTTGATCTTGCTTCTTTCTCACACTTCCTTCTCTTTGTTCCAGACCAGCAAAGCCGTGACTAAGGGAGACTTTCCATTAGCTAGCATCGCATCTAGACGAGCCTTGTTCCTGGCTGCACTCTCCATCACCATTGGGACAGGGGTCTACGTGGGTGTAGTGGTGGCCCTCATTGCATATCTGTCCAAACCAGGCCACATCTAGCAGACCGCTCAGGAGAGGATTGCAAAACTCCACCATACTACAGTTCACATATTTTTTTTTCAAATGTCTCATTCTTGTCCCTCCCCGTGGACTGCCTGTCCAGTCAGAGAAATGGATGAAGCAGAAGAACTGGGCACTTTATCGCCTCAGTCATAATATATACATGTACGCTTCACCCTCGCGTCAAACCACACTGGATGAAACTTAACTAAGTCTGAGAGCAGTTCAGGTGAAGAATATAAACTTCAGACAAATCAGCAATCCAATTAACTGAACCCAAAAGAGAAAGTATTCCAAGGGACACCAAGAAGGATCAAAAGGGACTAAGTGCCCTTGGATTTGTTTTTCTCTTCCCAACTGTGCTTCGTTCCAAATCTGAAAGAGAAATCAAGCCTTTTCTCTGTTTCTCTCTCTCTCATTACTTACTTAGTCCGGTAAACCCTGTATGTGCGTGTGGCCCAATTAAACCAGCGTTGGTGAATACACCGACTGCAGGCTTTGAGCTCTGTTAAAAAGAACAGAATGTTTTCATCCTATGCTGGAGAAATAACACAGCTTTGTATGTTATAAGCAAATGTGGAGGTCATGCACAAACCTAAATGCTAATGATCACAATATGGATCTACAGGACAAGAAAAAACTCTCCAAGACTGTGCGTTCCACCTTGAATTCATCACTTCTTGTACACACAGTCTATATGTTATTCCTACTTTTGTATTCCTGGATTTTAGGTGCTTTAAGTTGTATATGCTTTGCCTTTGTTTTGTTAAAAGTCCAAACTTCATTCTGACCCAACATAAGCAGCAAGGTTTATGTGTGGGATGCAAGGACAGCAAGTGTTTATGTTATATCGGTGCAGATTTGCTTGACTTTACCAGATCAACTTTTGCTCCCGGGTGTCTGAACTGAATATAAATGAAATGACTGCGCAAACATGGATGAAATGGCGACGTGTCCTTTTACTCCCCAAATGCATCATTTAATGTCTCTTATGAGTCGAGTACAAAAATCAATCAGACTTGGCATAACAGACGCTCAAAAATGTATGATATGCTCTCTTCAGATCCTAAGATGGATGTTTGAACAAAAAGCCAGGTTTTGTTTTCAGGTGAAAGGGCCTCAGATTGAATCGATTAATAATGTATAGGATGTCTGTAAGCTCACGGGCATGAACAGGAACACACAGGGGATGTTGAGGTAAAGGTCGACTGCTCTATTTCAACAACAATGAAGCCTGGATGTGGTGTAGTCATCCGCATAAGAACTTCAAAACATGAAAACAATGGCTTCTCCGGCGGCTATAGGTTGTGATTCGGGGCTTGATTTGAATTCCTCTGATGGAGTGCTCAGTCGGAAACTTGGAGAAATGAAATTGGCCACATTGTGAAGTAGGAATAGCCAATTGTGTATACACTCCTAATTGCTTCCCGTGGCTATTTGAAATACCCAGCTGTATTGAATACACACATTTTCAGGGTGAAGCCTTTTGGGGGCCAGATTGACAAAACATTCAAGTACAATGTACTATTTTCTTCCTTTTCCAAAAGTTTGTTTCTGATATTCCCCCAAGAAATTACAGAATGTTCTTAGCTTTTTGTCAAAAGGATGTAAATTTTAATTTGCTGATAATTTACTCACTCTGAGGCTATCCAAGATGCTCTTTAGTAGAAGATTAAAGAAGATTCTTAGCTGAAATGAGGGTTCTCAAGACACCTCCAGGAATTATGTTTAGGACTGCTTGTTGAGTCTGTGGATAAAATATAATAATGTTCAGTCTTTTGCAAAGACCGATCATTTTGCCAATGCTTCATAAGAAATGAATGTATCATCAGGAACTATGGCAACATTGCGATCTCGATAATTATTTTCCATGGTGAACGATAACGATATACATATTTCAATATCAGTTGTTAATGTTTCCAGGTTTAAAAGAGTATCCCAACAATGACTGAAGCCAACAAAATTAGAGGGTCCATTAAATGGCATAACATATTTTCGGCTGATAAATTTTCGGTGGCTGCAAATTCTGTATATCTCTAACATCAACACACTTCTAGATTCCCATTGTAGTACATTTCTGATGTTTGATTGGCTCCTAGATCAATATAGAGTAAAAAAAAGTCCTGAGCTTGTCATTGTTATTGTCAAATATTATCGCGATTTAATATAATATTGTTTATCAGCCCAACCCTAGGAACAACAGGTATTAGTAAGATTTGCCGGCCTGTTTTTTTGATTCTCAAAGTGCCACCAGCCATTAAATTGCGTTTTATAAATCACCAAAGATCATGGTTTGAGCTAAAAAGTCTTATTTGAAGAAAGTCACATCTTTGATAGTCTGAGGGTATATTAACTCCAAATTCAACCCAAATCTTTCCATTTAAGACTATTTGCAGAACAAAACATTTAAAAAAAACACCATAAGTAACTTCTCAAAGTTAAGATACCCTTCAATTACCCTCCAACCTCCATTAGACAAGCCTTATGAGTTTGACAGTACGCAGTCAGATAGCATCAACACCTGTCATTTTATTCTTAAGACCATGACACACTAAACTAGAGTTGAAGAACTAGCTGCAAGAAAAGCAGACTGTTGTCTCCTCACGTCAGCTGCGTCTCAGTCAGAACCTGTGATTCATCACAATAAAAGGACTACAGGCGATTACAAACGAGCACATATGCATTCTGCATCTGCGTGTGAGGAATTTAACTGTCTAGATGAGCAAGGAATAATATTCAGAATTCTTCATTCACAAAGGAATATCTACACTAGGACTGCTACAGATATTTAAACTAATCAGTGCACTCTTATCATTTTGGATATCAATATACTGAACAGTTTCGCCAGTCAGGTGGATGCTGTTATTGATTGATGGCTTGGTGCGTCTTGATGATCCTTGAGGACAAAACTATGGATGTTTTTTTTTTTCTGTACAATTTACTTTGATTTGAAGAAGGGAATAAAACTGTCACGATGTAGTAACTTCATCTTGGTTTGGTTCACCAAAGCAGTGTTTCTAAATGATCCAGTTGTTATGTGCAGGTAAACACTCATCTCATGGGTCAGAATAAAACCTGTCTGCATACCAATCATCCATCAGAATGTATAGACAACTGTCTATATGCGTTTATTGTGACTTTCTTTTTTTGTATGAGTGTGTGTGTGTGTGTGTGTGTACCTTGTATTTTCCTGTTGTGGGGACCAAACGTCCTTACAAGTACAGCTATACTAACCACTAAGGTTTAATCTTGTGAGGATATAAGGCTCATAAATCATACAGAATTGAGTATTTTGAACATGTGAAAAATGCAAATTGTTTACTTTGAGGGTTGGGTTTAGGGATAAAGATGGGATAGGGGTACCATTCACAGTTTGCAAATTATAAAACTCATTCAGTCTATGGGATGTCCACAATTAAGATTAGTTCTTGCCTCAGATTAAACTATGAATCATTCTGAGATGCATTACATAAACATTTTAACACAGTGTACGTAATAACTCACAATATACTTTGATAAAACCTGGTTCATTGTTCCATTTGCTTTCTCATCACAAGCAAACTGCACCAGATGCTATTATTTATTTATTTTTTTTAAACTGACTGACTTGTTGAAATCTTATATGATCTTATACTCAAAATGTTATCAATTAAATCGTAGGTGCCAACCATTTTCACATATGCCCAAACAAACTCTGCTAAGGAAGACAAATAAGCACCAGACTTTGAAACAATAAGCTAGTTGTAAAAGCTCTTGAGATCCCTTTGAGAAATGTACTTCTTAAGATATTTTTTTTCTTCAATTATATATTTTAGCCCTGCTCCAGGGGATAAATAAAAAAACACAACAGCTGAACTCACCGGACGTTAAGGTTACAGGTGCTTTTTTTGAAGTCTGCAAATAATAATTACCTGAAAGGTATGTGGATTGTGAAAACAGAGAACTGGTGTAAGGTTATGCTTTATAATTTCATATTAATGAGCGAATACATACGGCGAGTTTAAGAAACAACTCGGACTTCATGAATAGTATACTGATTAACTATTTCAGTGTGTGAGATGTGCTACCTGGATACTACAGGGTGGGCCATTTATATGGATAAACCTTATTAAAATGAGAATGGTTGGTGATATCAACGTCCTGTTTGTGGCACATTAGTATATGTGAGGGGCAAACTTTTCAAAATGGGTGGTGACCATGGTGGCTATTTTGAAGTCAGCCATCTTGGATCCAACTTTTGTTTTTTCAATTGGAAGAGGGTCATTTGACACATCAAACTTATTGGGAATTTCACAAGAAAAATAATGGTGTGCTTGGTTTTAACGTAACTTCATGAGTTTTTACAAGTTTCTGACCACTTATAAAATGTGTTCAATGTGCTGCCCATTGTGTTGGATTGTCAATGCAACTCTCTTCTCCCACTCTTACACTGATAGCAACACGGCAGGAGAAATGCCAGCACAGGCTTCCAGTATCCGTAGTTTCAGGTGTTGCACATCTTCACATCACCATGAAACACATCATCATGTAGCAATTCCAAATATCCAGTGGCCTAGAGGTTTCCATTGATGAAGAATGGCCCCACTATCTTTGTTGTCTATGATGTGAAGACACAAGATGTGCAGCACCTGAAACCAAGGATACTGGAAGCCTGTGCTTGCATTTCTCCTGCGGTGTTGCTATCAGTGTGGGAAAAGAGGTTTGCATTGACAATGACTCTATAACTCATAAAAGAATTAAGTTACGTTAAAACCAAGCACACCATTGTTGTTCTTGTGAAATTCCCAATAATGTGTCAAACGACCCTCTTCCTATTGAAAAAACAAAAGTTGGATCCAAGATTGCCGACTTCAAAATGGCCAACATGGTCACCACCCATCTTGAAAAGTTTACCCCATCACATATACTAATGTGCCACAAACAGGACGATAATACCACCAACCATTCTGATTTTATTAAGGTGTATCCATATAAATGGCCCACCATGTACAATAAAAAAT